TCCCAATGGAATGTCCCATTGGGAACCTACTAGCACTAAGTTGCTAACTGGTTAGCAAGATGCTTCTGATAAACCAACCACAATCAAACCTACTTACAAACCTTCTGCCACAACAATCCCGACCCCTGGATAAGCAACCAATCACATTCACTTTATTCACTCACTTTTTTATGCCAACAGTGTTTGAAAGGGATTTATATTCTATGTGAAAGTCTTGGTTTTTAAATTAAAGGCTGTATTTTCCCATAACTATGATATTGTACATCTGTAACTAATAATGAATCAACATATATTTACCAGGGATGCCCGCTAATGTCTGCTGTGATTAACAAGCAGTTTTTTAGTAATGGGATCCTGACCTCTTTCCTTTCTCTCGCTGTCTGCAGGCTTGGCACTGTTTGGTCGCCCTGGGCGTTTCCTGCCTGGACTGTGGCAGCAGGGTAAGCAATCGACCTGCTGTGCTCATAGAGCAGCGCTCTGAATACGACTCCTAAAGCCCAACAACACATTAACCGCCTGCATGACTCTTACCTCTGAGGGAACACTGCACACAACCAGGACTTAATTTAGGTTCACGTAGGATTTTGGAGTCAGACTCTCTGCTCTTCCCATGTTGTTTCCATGTTGGGCTGGATGTCAACATCTGATGCTTTTTTAGGACGTATCGCAACTACATCAGCATAATTGAGCCAGACGTTAGTTAGAAGAGATTTATTATTGTGTCATGATCTAAAGCAGCATTTTTACAAGAAAGCAGCGTTTATATAAAATCTGTGAAAATTACCTTGGATTTAGCTAACATGCAGGTTAATGTCTCTAATTACAACAAAGACTCCAAAACGTGGAGCAGCGTTACACTCCATCCAGATGGAAAATGGGAAAAAGAGACAGAATCTAATGAAATAACTCAAATCAGAATCAGTTTTCTTTGATGAACCGTTTCACCAGCTGCTTGAATATTTTAATGCTAGCGCAATATGAAACAGACACCAGCCATTAGCAGCACAACATTCTCACAATATAATAAGCAATATCTTAAAGACAAAAAGATAATGTGCTTTCAAGTAAGTTTAGTTCCTGCAAAACTTCCTGGATTCCTTCTTTTAAATCAAATTAAGTGGAACATTTATTCTGCATATATAAAGGAGTTCATTCCCAGTTTATTTCTCACCCTGACTACCTCACTGTGCTCTGCTGTTTTATCCAAGTGAAACATCACATTGTTTTTTTTTGTTTGTTTGTTTTCTTGCATCTGCTATTTTAGAATTGTTACTTGATGATAAACATGGATTGTTTAAATTTTTGCTCCAAATGCTATCCAGCCTGTTCTTTGATGTTTTTTTGTTTCTGTTATAAACTGACTCTGCTCCAGCGTGCAAACAAGGCTGAAAGACTTCCATCTAATTGATATGCATCAGGATACGACGCTTGTTTTGTTTTGTGTTTCCTCTTTGCACGGTGGGGATTTTATATCATATCAGGCTGAAGCAGAGTTTCATTTTCAGTCAGTATTTACAAAATGGTTTCTTTAAAATATCCTCAGGCACTTTAGGGGGTTCAGTCTCCACTAACTTTACTGCTTATACAGGTTTGTTTGTTTTTTCTGACTGCTGTTGTTTTTTAGTGCCTCAATAATCCATAAGTCAACTGTTGCATGTTAGAGTTTTAACTTTTATAGGAGGGATTTCTCAGGTTAAGGAGTAAATTTCTAAGCACCTTGAGCTCTTGGCCATGTAGATGTTTCTTGATATGTGTGTATATTCATGTTGGGTTTTTTTTTTTGTCCCTATAAAAGGTCTTAACATTGCTATGCTGGTATGATGGAAGTAGGTTTGTATCTGAAAAAAATATATACAGAGAGAGAGAATAATAATAGATAATTTATAAATTTTATTATCACATCTTTTTAGATTAATAAACCAAACATTTAACATTACCTAACAAAACTCCATCCTGTGAAATTTATATAAAAGATTGAGGTTAAACGCACATAATTAATGTGTGTTTATGTGAAACCTTTATAGGAAATGTTGTTTTTCTATCTTGAATTGTCTATTTTAAAGATGTTTGTGTACTTTTTTTGATCTGTTTCACTGTAGATATTTCAAAGCTTTGGATATTAAACAATGAATAACAGAAATAAACATGGAAAAAAAATTTAAATGGAAGGAAAAAAGACAAAGAAATGTAATTTTTCCCATTTATAGTTTGGAAGAATTATTTCAAATGTTGTCCTAGTATAGTTGTGATTGGTTTAAATGAGGAAAGTACCGGTGATGCTGATCTTTTGCAGTATTTTAATGATGTAAAACATTATTGGGTATGGAGAGTAAAAAGGTTAAATCTTTTTCACATTTTGTAATTTCATTTTTGTAATTTAATGGAGTTGAATTGGTTCCAGAACAATCTGAGTAAAGTGCTTTTATTTTTAATAGGATAGTATAACAAAGCATTAAATTGAGCAATATCCAAGTGATGTGGAGATGGTGAGAGATGGGAGCGCAGTGTTAAAGGCCCAGTTAGGGATCTGGGTTACGTTCAGGATTTACCGTCACGCGGAGGGGCCTTCCTCTCTGTAATCTTAAGCCGCACTCAGCTTCAGATTTAAACATTTTAAGCTCTTTTCTTCTACGTTAAACAAATGTGTTTCGGGGTTTCTTCACTGTTGGCATCACCTCACACAGTTTGGTGTTCCAGAAAAAGGTAGTGATGTACACTGAAGGTGTTGTGTGGCATTTTCCTCATTTCTGCTGTTCTGCCATGCTGGATGAAGCACAACCATGTGTCCCAAATAAAAGCTAACTGTGGATATGTGGACATGTGTTGGAGTCTTCTGTCTTAGTGTCTAAAACTGAATGTTTTCTCCATACAGAAGCTATTCTGCAGTCAGGGACTCAAAGCAATAAACTGGTTTTCCTTAGATAAAAAACCTTTTTTAAATTCAATTTAATTCAGTTTATTTATATGATGCCAATTCACAACACATGTCATCTCAAGGCACTTTACAGTTCACCAGATCATCCAGTCAAATTGATTCAAAGTTTTCTAACTTAGGAAAACCAGTTGATTGCATCGACTCATTGACTCGAAGGCAATCTCTCACACTAAGCATTGTAGCGACAGTGGAGAGGAAAAACTTCCTTTTAACGGGACGAAACCTCCAGCAGTTTACCAATCTGACTGGATGGAACTCTCTCTGTAAAGAGCCTTGAGATGACCTTTGTTTTTAATTGGCGTTACATTAATAAACTGAACTGAACTGAGTATCGTAAATGTGCACAACCCCGATGCACACTGGAAAAAACTAAAATCTCGATAAGTCATTTTTTCTTAAATTAAGTGCATTTGTTCTTGAATTTAGGAGGTAAGTGGGACACTTCGGCAATGGAACAAGACAATTTACATTTAAACAAAGAAAAAAAATTTCATTGTCTTATTTCAAGTGCATATTGTGTAATAACCTTTTTTAAGAGTAAAAATGCTCACTCCATTGGCAAATCATCTTATTTACCTACTCAAATTAAGGGTAAATATACTCAATTAAAGACATTTTTACTTATTTCTAGATCGTTTTTGCAGTGTGAGTTTGGGTAAAAAAAATCCATCATGTTGAATTACTTTAAAGTTAACTGAAAAATAAAATCCATGGAGCCATTTTTTTTCCCCCCAAGTTAATAGTAACTTGGCTGCATATGTGTGAACAACCTTAAACTAACAGGCTGAAGATGCACATCGTGTGCAAAATTCAGTTAGTCCCCTTTTCCAGGAATTTATATTCTTGACTCTGCAGCCCTCTAATGGACCCCCTAGCCTTTCTCTGATAATGCAGGTGATCATTGTAATCATTCAGGCTACCATTTCTCCATTATTCTCAAGGATCTGGGCTAAAACAAACCAGTATTTTTTTGATTTGCCTTCTTTTAGGGAAAGAAAAGTGATCCCACATTATGATGCTGACACCAGGATCCCAATGATTATCTGTTACCGCTCTGCAAACCAAGGATTTATTCTGCTGAGGTTCATTTATGGTTTCAGTTTTAGTGAAACTTGAATTAGAGATGTACCAAATAAGATTGAATGTTAAAATTAAACAATTTGATCAGATTTAGTTTGTTATTAGTTAAAGCTTTATCTCATTTTAGAAACCAAGGCATTGTTTTGTTATTCTTGTTGACGGATATTGTTTTTATTTTAAGGAGATCATTTATATATTCCATCAAATATTAATATTAAATCTACTATAGCTGCCTTAATTGAATGAACTAGGGATTTGTGTGTGTTTGTTTGATTAAAAAAAACAAAACGACATTGATGACAAAAAATCATCCTCTGATCATTTAGATTACTTTTTCTAAAAACATCTTTCATACAAGCAAAGTCCCAGACATGACTGGAACTGAGAAAAGGCAGTGCTATACGGGAACCGCCTCGTGGCGGGGCCCCTGGCAGCCCAAAGAAAGCGGCAACTGCAGCTTTTTGTGGCATGCGTGGCCTCGGTAAATCATTCCCGGATGAACGGTTTGTACTGAAATCTCGATTACAACGCAAATTGTAGTTGTTATTTAAAGAAATTGATTGAAAAATATCCTTGAGGAGGCGCTGAATTATAACTGAAGTGGAGGACTTAAACACTGAGCCTTGTGGAACTCCATAGTAGATTTGAATGAAGCGTTTTATTTACATGGAAGGTTCTGTCTTTAAGATTCAGTGCAGCTCCAGTCTGTCAGATTCTGTCCACTCAAATGTTGTTGCCACACTATCAGCAGAAAATCATACTTTAAACCTGAATCTTCAAGGGGTATGAATATTTCTGCAGCTCTAGCAAAGGTTTATCGTTTTTTTTAGGGTTTAGAAACACCACCACATGAGATTTTGAACACAAGTCGAAGCAGCAGGGATCCAACAAACTTCCTGCACTCCAATGATTTGACCTGAGGTCAGGTGAAGCCTTAGTATGCCAACACCTTTTAATGTGAATGTATTGAAGAAGCCCGAATGGTACGGAAGAGGATAAGGGCCACTAAAAAAAAAGATGACTGATTTTTGAATTTTATTTCAATTTAATATGGGAAAAGGGTCAGATTTTAAAGTTACATTTTTTGTCAAGGTAAGATAATCTGCTCTTCAAAAACCAAATTTAAAAGACATGATTTACCGATGATTAACATCCACATACTATTAAAATCAAGCACTGTGACGTTCTCTACAGATGTTTCCGGGTCCTTAGATGATCAAATCAAACAATTTTATGTGCAACAGAAACAGTAAATATTATTATAAATATGCTGTGATTCTAGCATTTATCAGCATACCTGTTAATATCTATCTGATTAAACCTTTCTGTTTGATCAAGAATTTTGTAACCTAAACATAAATGCCACCTAAATAACACTGCATTTTTTAACATTGCAGAGGCTAAATGTATTTATTTAATTACATTTTAAATGAATCAATTAAAAATCAGAAAAAAGATGATTAAAAGCTGATTTATTTTTAATTTCTCATGGATGATACATTTATTTTGCTTGTATTAAAAAAAAAAATAAACTAACCATAGTTTGTTTTTCCTTCCTCCAGATGCTGCACCACACAGACATGTACTTACTGACCGACATGGAGGCTGAACCGCAGGCTGAGAGATAGTAGGACGCCCGGTGCAGTCTGACTGCAGACTAGAGGGACCGCTGAAGCTTGGCCAGTATTACCTTCTCTTCAGCCCTCAGTGTCTGACTCCTGCTAAAGTGTCCTTAATGCACCAACAGAATTTGATGGAATCGGAAAAAAACGGCCAAATGCTTCAATGCTTTATCATTTTTCCTGGACAGCAGCGTGTACTAAATGATCTGCGGGTGTAGCAGAGGGAGAAAAATGCCCTGAAAGCCTGAAATAAAAGAGAAGGAAAACATGGTTGACAACAGCACTCTACAGCTGAGAACAGATGATTTCCAGTAGATAATCAGAGCTATAAATGAGCCAGTGGTGCCTGGATGTGGGTATCCATCAAACCCACTAAGCTGCTGCACACTGCTCTTCATATGTAGCTATATTTTATTTTTCAACACAAATAATATATATTAATGACCCTATAATCCATCCATCCATACTGTTAGTCACAGTATGTTTGGAGTTGTTTGCTGGGGACCAAATAGTTTGTTATTGTGCTAAATAAGCCTGATAAATTATTATTTAGGTATTTTACCTGACTCACAGTCGCTGATAAATATAAGCAGACCCTCTCGATAGCACTTAGTTTAGGTCAAACCTTTAGTTTTTTTTTAAATTTTTAATTTTTTTTTTTTTTTATGCAAAGGTGCACAAAATAAGTGTTTAATATTTTGGAGGCACTCATGGGCAGCTGGTGATAATGCACTTATCTTGGGAAACAAGCGTGCTATGCCATACTGAGAAATCAGCCTTAATCTTTATGTCCAAAAATGTCAGATTTCTTCATTTCCGTTCAGCAGAACACTTCTGATCATATGTGATGCAACGTCTGCCATGCAAAACAAACTTAGAATGCACTGGAAATACTAATTAAGGATGCGTAGGTGTCGGGGTTCAAAGACGTGTTTAGAAGTAAAGATGCCTTTTAAAATAAACTCACTGATGAGAATGAAAGGAATCCCTGATTTAACCAGAGATGCATCAATCAGACAATTCCTGGGAGATTTGTATGGAGAGAGTTTTGTTCCATTATTGTTGCATGCAAAACAACAAAAAATCATTTTGTAAATGGAAATTTAAAAAAAATGAAATTTGAAAAAAATGTAATTAAGAAATTAAACTGAAAATCTTTATTATTTAAAAAAAAAAAGGGGGGGGGCTCTGGAGTAAACTTGCTGGTTTATAAGTTTGTTTTTTCTTTCAGTTCATTTTTTCAGAATATTTTTTTATTTAAGCATATTATAAAATTTGTTTTACAAACTTTATATTTAAATATTTTCCTTTTTTAAATAAATTTTAGTCTTTTGGATTGAGTTTTATGAATTGCATTATTTTCAAATTATGCTTTCGGCATTCTCTTCACCTATGGGGGCGGGCTTTCCTCTGAACTAAGGAGTGAAGAGGCGTTTCTATGGAGTTGCTTGAACATTAGCAACATTTTTATTGGCCAATGTGCGCTTCAAGAGCGAGCCTTTGTATCGGGCCTTAAGTGAAAACAATACGATCAGTGAATAACAATATGAGAAGAATGTAATCAGTAAAACTCAATCTGAAAAACAGGAATTTGGAGGAAAAAAATGAAAATATTAAATCTGAAGAAAATTCTAAATTTGAAGAATTAAAATTTGAAAATATTAAATCTGGGAAAATGTTTTTCATAAAAGACAGAAAATACATTTGAACATAGATAATTTGAAATGACATGAAACCACAACAACGAAGCACAAACTTAATCTGAAAAATAGATTTTGATCAAAACCTTTTTTTCAATTTTCATTTTTTTTCTCCATTTATAAGACATGTTCTTTGCTTGCATCAACAATAAAATGAAATTTTCTTTTACATCCAAATTTATATTATATATTTATAATATAATATAATCTACAGTTATATTCAATATATTCATATATACATTGTAAAGTGATTTATTCAAGTGACTCAATTCAGTATGATTTATTTAGATTAATGAGACAGATGGATGTTTTTTAGCCTTAATTGGGATGTTTTTCTAAAAAACAGGTTTCAGATTTGGATATTATATAAGACCCATTAACAAATCTAAGCTTAAGGAAAAGTCTATTAAATGCTTAAAGGTTGACATTTTTAAAAGTAAATTTAAATGTTTCACAAAAAAAAAAACAGGATTATATAATTTGTTAAATATGACTATATAGAGTAGGTGTGGATCCTAAAAGAAATAAAGAAACTGGAAGATTTTCCCTCAGAAAGCTTGTGAAAGGTTTTTTAACTAAAGAAAAGGGCATCAGATAAGCTTGTTGGTGCATTTGTGGACCAAAAATGGTGGGAATTCTTAGTTTTGCTGCATCAGATTAATGGGGGGTAATTTTACCTGCTGATCACAAATAAACTACAACTTCTAGTGGATCAGTGCATCTCTGGTTAAAGTACATCTACGTTAATATCGGCATGGTTCAAAGCAAGGTTTGAGATTTTGCTTCTAAAAATGGTTGACAAATTATTTGTTTTTGAATAAAGCCGCTTTAAAAGTTTTTGCTCAGGTTGAGCTAAATAAACAACATTTCTATTCCTGCTAAGAACCAAATATTTTTTTTTATTTTAAAGCTAATTAATTAAAAAAAAAATATTTTGTTCCTTTGTACTTTTTAAAACAAATTTAAAGTTAAAATGTCAAATTTAAAGGTTTGTTAGATATTGTAAACTGAACTATTTTGTTTTTATTTATGTTGTGTCACTTTCTGTATGTTGGTGTAAAATATTTAAAGGGCCCATTTAAATGGAGATAGTTCAGATAGTTCCTTTATTTAAAAAAAATGTGAAATATTTTATAATTTTTTTTTCCCATTACTTTCCGTTTGCTGATGTGTTGAGAATCAGCATTTTCATTTACGGCTGCCAGTGTAGACAGGATACAGTAACCGTACTGCAGGAGGATTGAGGCTCTTAAAGCGCTCAATCTGAGGTTAGCGGCTGCACATGTTTGTGTACAAGAGCCAAACTCAGCTTCAGGCACGCAGCATCAGGTGAGAGAAAATAATGCTGAGATGAAATTAGCTTCTTTAGGTGTTTCATAGCTTTCATCATAATCTGTAATCACTAACTTAAACCAACATAAATGATAAATCTGCTGCAGGGAGTAACTTAAACAGATTTAACCATCTGTTCATGTAACTTTCATTTAATCTCAACGTTACCGTTTTAATCTTTTTATCTGAGCTCAATTCTTCTCCATTTCTTTTTCTCATTCTGTGCTTTTGCCGTTTCCTGTGTTTTCGTTTTAGATCATCTCAAAAGAGATGCAACAACTGGTTTAGATTTCTCCAAACGCTCGGTCTGTTACGGGGAAATGTAACATTTCATCTAGAAACAAATGCAAAGTGGAAAACCTGGCAGCTAAAATGAGCTGCTGTGGCATTAATGGAACAATGTTAGACGTTGACTGGTACATGGACAGTAAGCACATCCCCAGAGTTATTTTCTTATTTGGTTTCTTTTTTTTCTTACTATAAAAATTGTAGAGAAGTGTTTTGCTGTCACTAAAGTAAATCTATTTTTGAAAACTATCATGTTATATCGCATAAACCTATTTGCTGCATATCTACTCAGGAAGTACAGTGGCTGATTTCACTTGGTCTCATCTCCATGTATCATTAATTATGCAAACATTTGTTCAATTTTTAATTTTAACACATTGTCTTAAATAAACGTATTTGTTCATTAATATTCATTCAAAGCGGGGTTCCCATAGTAGGGGCTGAGATCCCTCAGTGGTCAGGAGACACAGATTGGTGGGGTCGCTAATTGGTTTTCACAATCAATGTGATATGAACCCTGGGTTATATGGAAGGCCAAATTGATCATAAAATAAATAAATGCTCATTTTAACCATGAAATGAGTAAATGTAGCATTTATGTATTTATCTAGAAAATGTCCCAAATTTGAGCTGAAATTATTCATTATGATTTATCATTGTAACTATTATTTATTTATATTAGTATTTGATTAATAATCTAATAATTAGTAATGGTAGACTGACTAAACATACAGATGTGAGCTGTAAACATCAAGTATTAACAGCTTTCCTATTAAGATTAACTTATAGATAGATAGATAGATAGATAGATAGATAGATAGATAGATAGATAGATAGAGATAGATAGAAAGAAATAATTGTATGCATGTATGATACATGCATATAAAATTCCTTTAAAATGATCTTTAAAGGTTTTTTGTAATACATTTATACAAAAAAGTAAATATATATACTTTTTTTCAAATGTTATAATTTATAATGTTATTTTGAAATAATCAATTACTCAAAAATAATAACTGCTAGATGAATCTGTTACTGAAATAATCAATAAGGTGCAGCCCTACTCAAATATGACATAAGCAATGAGTGAAATGATCAATTAATCAAAAGTCCAATTACATGGATAAAAACTAAATGTAATTATTTAATTGTAGTTATTTTAAAATGAATATGTCTAAATAAATATAGACTTAGGTTAATATGTATTTTAGTAAAGTTGCTGAAATGTTTGGGAACCTCTGGCATGGAGGGAAACGGATGCTGCTGCGCTCTGTGGATGAGAACATTACCACCTTCCACTGAGAAGCATCCTTAACGGAATGGGACGGCAGAGTGGGAAAGAAATCAACCAGATCCTCTAGATGTGGCGGCCTTCCTGGTTGAGCAGATGTAGAGTTATTGGAGCCTCCATGGGTGCTTTGTTACAGAAAATACCCCATAGATTGAAGCACTGGCGATTTCAAGCTTTTAGCCACCCTGATAATCAATTTTCTCCCACTCCTCTTAAAGGAGTCCTGCTAAAAGCCCGCAACCGCCACCATCTGGATAAAGTTATCAAGTCTGTAAATGTATCATGTTATAACATGATGGTGCTCAACATTTATTTTCTTTATTACAGCAAAACATTTCTGTAAAGTTGCATTTAGACAAAATAACATCAATCAGGAGACACTCTGGCTCTGGAGAGCGTAGTTAGAGTCGCACCCTTTAACAATAAAACCTGAAACCCTGAACAGACATCAAACCCAACTTGAACCGTAGTTGTTTTTCCACAGTGCCTTATCTTTTCACCAGCGAACCTCTTCTAATAAATGTTTGACACACTTTTATTTTAATGTTTATATTTAAAAACAAGAGAAAGATGAAGAGGATATTTAAAAGCAGGAGCTTTTAAAATAGTATTTCATGACATTCTAAAAATTGGGAGCATTTGGATAAATAACGTGTTGCTTAAGGATTTTAGATTTACTCATTTTAATTTTGGTGTACTTTGTCCGTAGCCATATTCTTTTCTGATCTTAACTCATTAAACTACTGAGGTCTTATATGCTGATTTATTTTTAAAAGGATTAAACCAAGCAGGAAGGTCCTCCACTCAGAACAACCATCTGTATTTAAATGTTTTAATATGATTTTTCTTCTGTCAAACCAAAAGAGCTGTGCTTCCTTTTAAAGCTCTACGGTAAAACAATAAATGTTATTATTTATTTTTGGTGTCATGTTTTTTCATTAAATTACACTACAAATGGATAAAACATGTGAATTGATGTCCTTAATGTATTGTGTGATGTTTCTGCATAAACTGGATTTCAGTCTAAAGAATCTTCACAGAGCTCAGAAATGTAGAGGTGGGATGGATGGACTATTGTAGATGGCAGCTGTTTACTAAAAAAAAAAACAAGCAGCATGTTGTTTTAAATCATTTTACAAGTGGTAAACAAAAATAATTCAATATACAATTTTTCATAACTTATAATATATGACATCTGTTTGTTCAAGAAAGTTCAAGTTTGGATCTGAATTTTATAAACTTCACCGTCAAAAGTCCTAAACAGACATGAAAGCTTTAAAACCTCTGATTATAATTAATATATATGTTGTGTTTTTTTTTAGTTAATAAAGTTAAATAGACTTCATTTGTATTTTGATTTCATTTGTATACCCATCAATGGTCTACATTTGACCAATGTCCTAATTGGACCGTCTGAAGCTAAATCCACACAATAAAACTTCATGGTCAGGTTTCAGTCTGGCTTTAGGTACATTTGAGGAACTCAAGTGATTTTTGTCTTTACTTGGTCTCTAAGCTGTTTTTCAAAAGTAGATTCTATGTTAAGTGAAATTACAGATCCCTTTGGACTCTTGAAAAAGATTCTGGTAAAAAGTAACAACTGAAATCAAGTAAAATAAAAAAAGTACCAGTTCTACATTGTACCTGAGAGAAGCTCTCCAGGAGGTGTGAGTTGAACACGACTTTGACTGAGGGCTCTACCAGAGTTTCCCAGCAGACCCTCACTATACACTTTGGCTTGCCATGTCCATTTTATTTTCCTCTTTCCTATTCAACTGACCATAAGGTGATGATCAGTGGAAAGCTCTGCCCCTTCCATTACCCAAGACATGCAGCCAAAGTTTAGAAGATGAAATGGTGGTCATACTTTAAACAGCATTAAGATGCCCCATAAGCACATTCTCAGGCAGACGCATACCAGTTAGCCACCCAGAACAAACAAGGGATGGCTATTTGCTTGGAATGGTCCTAGTAGGATGGACCTCCATGCTGCTTAAATACATTAGCACTCCAACTACTGATTATTCTGGTGCAAGCCGACCGAAATGACAAAGACTCCTGGATAGGTGTTGAAATGTCTTCAAATAACTGAGTGAAAGCCAGGTTGCATTCTGATTTAAGCCTGCTTTGTAATTCAGCACTAAGCTTTACTCATTCACAGCTACCCAATCATTTATACTGGAAAATTCATATATCTCAACATGTAAAAAAAAAAAAAAAAAAA